TTCTTGAAGGTGGACACCAGCTTGAAGGGGACATGAGGTGTTAGTGAGCAGGTCACTTGCCCGTTGGCACCGAAGTCGAGATCTGACACGCTAATTAGGGCAATAACAGTACCTAATTGAGCGTCCTCTCGGATAGGCAAGGATAAGGAAGTCAATGCAATCTGAGGGACATTATCATTTTTATCCAAAACTTTCAATAAAACAGTGCAATGTCCAGCCATGGGTGGGTGGCCTTTGTCCGTCGCGTCAACACGAATTTTGTATAAATTCAACTTTTCAAAATCTAAATTCCCTTTAGTTACTATTTCTCCAGTATTTGTATCTATTCTAAACTGGTCTCTAACCATGGTTGGAACAAGACTATTAAAAGAGTATGAAATTTCCCCATTCACTCCTTCATCCTGATCAGAAGCATTCAGTCTGATGACTATTGTTCCGTTGCCCGAGTTTTCGAAGATCCTTACTTCATATTCAGTCTGTTCGAAACTGGGAGCATTGTCATTCACGTCCAGCACAGTGACCAGCAGCTGAACAGTGCCAGTGAGCTCAGGTTTGCCTTCGTCAGTGGCTGTCAGCAGTAAGTTATGTTCGGGAGCTTCCTCTCTGTCCAAGGATTTCCTTAACACGAGCCCAATTTGTGTATTGGCATCACTGTTTGTTTTCACATCTAGGGCGAAGTATTCGCTGGAACTGAGTTTATAGGTTAAGAGGGAATTCGAGCCAACATCCGCATCTGACGCGCCCTCTAGTGGAAACATAGAATCTGGCAGCCTTGATTCGTAAATCAGCACTCTTTGTTCCTTTAAACGAAACACCGGCGCGTTGTCGTTAATGTCCTTCACCTCCACCTCCACATGGAAAACCTGCAGCGGCCTGTCCACGATCACCTCCAGGTGGATGCTGCACTCCGCGCTCCGCCCGCACAGCTCCTCCCGGTCGATCCGAGAATTCACAAACAAAATGCCATTCTGCAGATTTACCTCCAAAAGGTCCCCGTGGCCTCTGGACGCCACTCGGAAAAGGCGCGGCACCAGCTCTGCCAGCTCCAGCCCCAAGTCCTGGGCGATGCGGCCCACGAAGGTGCCGTGTTTGGACTCCTCGGCGACCGAGTACTGAACCTGGCCGCTGCCCTCCTCCCACGCTGCAAGGAGCAGAAGCGATAGCAGCAGATACTGAGATCCCAGTCGGCCTTCCAGGGTAATAACCATCTCAAATACTTGTTTTATTTCCATCAGAAGATCTTGCCTCGCAATTAAGATAAAATCTGTATGATCCCGAGTCTGTTAATCCAATTCTTCTGCGCCTGCCATCACTGAGCACTGGTGGAACTAATCAGTAATAGGAGGAATGGATTTTGCATACTGTAATGACTAGATTGACTTCATGGTAGACAGCGACATCATGCGGCTACAAAGGGTAAGAAATGAATTCACATAACCGCGCTAAGCTGTAGTCCTTTAAGTTAAAAAGGAAATTCTTATTTTGCCTTACTTTAATAGTAAATCTCCTTATGTTCGTAATTTGCAGAGCCAGTTTCATCTCGTCTAATTTCTTTTATTAATTTAGAGTAGGATGAGGGATCAGATAATTCATAGCAACACAACTTCTCTCGCAATAATTTAATTACTGCTATCAACCAGTTCAGAAAATTTGTGATCTGAAGTAGGTCTGGGAATTAGAAGTGCAAGCTATACTACACTCTTTGTGTAGAGAAGAAACGTGCATATATTTCTGTTATAGGACATGCTATTTTATTTTGCTCTGAGAAAGAATGGACTGTAATTTTAAAATAACAAATTTTATCCACATTTTTAACACCTTATAGATTATTGAAGTCCATTCTTTCTTTATTTGATGAATATCAAATACTCCTAAGGCTGTTTCTTTTACTTAATAATGGAAGAAAATTTTAGTGCATATTCTTTACAGCATTTCTAAATTTCCCCCTCCTCCCCCTCTAAACATTTTCCTTCACATACTTCATCACTGCAAATTCTCATGGAATATCTACCCATAATTCTTTGATGCTCTGATCCTTCAGCTGCTCCTAAATGAGCTCATCCTTTTCTTTCAATCTCAACTTTGTATATGCTTTCCTTTAAGTGTTCTCATCCACTTCCAATGTTTCAAATAAGACTTTCACTGAAGGTATTCCCGAACCCACATCTTCCTTCCCCCCTTCTATGGTTCTCTCTTTTTTTAAAGATTGTTTTTATTTTTTTATTTTGAGAGAAAGAGACAGCAGAGCAAGAGAGAGAGCACAAGCAAGCAGTGGGGAGGGGCAAACATGAACAGATATTTCTCCAAAGAAGACATCCAGATGGCCAAAAGACACATAAAAAGATGTTCAACATCACTCATCCTCAGGGTAATGCAAATCAAAACTACAATGAGATATCACCTCACACCTGTCAAAATGGCTAAAATCAACACAAGAAACAATAGGTGTTATTGAGGATATGGAGAAAAAGGAACCCTCATGCACTGTTGGTGAGAATGCAAACTGGCACAGCCACTATGGAAGACTGTATGGAGGTTCCTCAAAATATTAAAAATAGAGCTACCATATGATCCTGTAATTCCACTACTGGATATTTACCCAAAGAATATGAACACTATGCCAAAGGGATATATGCACCCCTATGTTTACTGCAGATTAATTACAATAGCCAAATTACAAAAGCATTTCAACTGACCACCAAAAGATGAGTGGATAAAGAAGATGTGGTATATGTAAATATACAAAAATAAATATATATATAAATATATATATATATATACACAAATTCACAACCCTGAGATCAAGAGTCATTCACTCTACCTACTGAGCCAGAAGGGTGTCCCTTAGTAGCCCCATTTTTTTTATTAGAGAGAGAGAATGCAAGGGGGGATCAGAGGAGGAGGAGAGGAGGGAGAGGAACAGAGAGGATCCCAAGCAGACTCCTCACTCAGTGCCCAGCCTGAGGCAGGGCTCATCCCAAGACCCTGAGATCATGACCTAAGCCAAAACCAAGAGTCAGACACACAACCGACTGAGCCACCCAGGCACCCCAGTTGCCACATTCTTAAAAAGTAAAAACAAGTAGATGAGATTTTAATAGTATATTTTATTTAACTGAATGTATCCAAATACTACCGTTTCAACATGTAAATATTACTTTTGAAAGTACTGATGAAATATATTTCATTTTTAGTTTTGTACTATCTTTGAAATTTGGTGTGCATTTTTATTTTTTTAAGATTATTTATTTATTTATTTGAGAGGGGGAGAGAGAGAGAGAGAGCACAAGCAGGAGCCTGAGGAGAGAGGCAGAGGGCGTGGGAGAGGCAGACTCCCCACCGAGCAGGGAGCCCCATGTGGGGCTCCATCCCAGGGCCCTGGGATAATGACCTGAGCCAAAGGCAGACGCTTAACCGACTGAGTCACCCAGACGCCCCTTGGTGTGCATTTTTATTTTTATTTTTTAAGATTTTATTTATTTATTTATTTGAGAGAGAGAGAGAAAGAGCATGAGAGGGGAGAGGGTCAGAGGGTCAGAGGGAGAAGCAGGCTTCCCGCTGAGCCAGGAGCCTGATGTGGGACTCAATCCCAGGACTCTGGGATCATGACCTGAGACGAAGGCAGTCGCTTAACCGACTGAGCCACCCAGGTGCCCCTGGTGTGCATTTTTAAAATTGAAATATAACTGATATATGACATCATTAAAAAAAAAAACAAAAGATACCAATAATATCTAATTTGAATATGTTAAGATTTTCCCAACTGTGAGAGCTCAAAATTGCTTCTTACCAATATAATAGTTTGTCAATTGAAAAAAAAAATGCAAGTTAAAGAAAAACTAATCATTGTTCCACTAAATGTTGATGTTAGGGTAAGGGAAAAAATTATGATATATCTGCAAAGTGGGGCACCATAAATCTGGAAAAAGGAATGTGACACATCCTCAAGTACTGATACATCATGATTATCAAGATATATTAAGTAAAACAGACAGAGGAAAAGCGATATGACTATTATGTTTTAAAATAGAAGAGGGGTACTTATTTCTATATAAAGAAAATATCTGTGGAAAGATAACCAAGAAATTGCAACGTTTGAAATAGACAAGGAAGACCGGGCACTTGGCTGGCTCAGTCAATAGAGCATGTGACTCTTGTCTCAGGGTTGTGAGTTCAAACCCCACCTTGGGTGTAGATATTACTTTAAAAACAAACAAACAAAAAAACACCTTAGAAATGTTCAAGGAGGTATATTAAGTGGCTTGATATTGGAGGTGGAAGGGTAACATTGTAAACCATGTAAGTGTATTTCGTATTCAAAAATAAATGAAGCCGGGGCACCTGGGTGGCTCAGTCG